CATTACTACAAAATATCTTGTGTTGCAGAAGCTAATTCACAATTTTATTTAGTTTTTTTTATAAATTTTATTTTAGTGTTTGGTAGGTTGTGGGCTCAGGTACTAGCCTTTGATCCTGAAACGTTTAAGGCAAAAGTTTAAAAGGCCATTTTCATCAAGTTCTGAATGAGGAATTGAGCTCTGACATTGTGTTACTTCAAACATTCCAACTAGAATAGTTATTTTCAAATTTTAATTGGATATTACCTTTTCCGACTTACAACTTCTTTATCTAAATTAAGATATGGTTTGTAACATAATAACAGTTACAAACAGCATTATTCCAATTATTTATTTTATTGAAAAACACATTTTTTTCATACATGATGATTGTTCAGATTGAAAACAACCTGTTAATGTAACATGATAGCTCTTTTACATAAAACAAAATGAATTACTTCACTATTACAGCATGGAATTTAATCTCCAATTAATAATTATGTGACACTCAAAAACTGTCTGAGTTTTATGTAATTAGAGGCTGTACTATGCCTTTAGAAAATATTAGTTCATATTCTCTTTTTGAACTCCTTGCTAACTCTTCGTTATGCCCAGTAATGACAGCATGGGCAGAAATTTGTGCCTGTTAGTTTTGTAAATGTGTAAAGATGAGATTTCCACACATAAAATATGCACAGGTCCAGTGGCTTTAATCAAACTGCAATGATACGACATTGGTTTATGTTCTATGGAAAATGTTACTTGCTGACGAGAACATTGTGGTACTAGTCCACCTGAATTTTCAGGGTCCCTCCTTCCACATGCAGGTTTACCAAGTGACATGAAACTCAAAACCTGTCAACCAAGTGTAATGACGCTAAAGCATCATATGCAGATTCGGAAGAAACACCCAAGGGAACAGAGAACACGAACTATCTCTGCTAGCACAGTGTGACTGTATGAAAGACCCAGAAACCTGACTGCATCCTTCATGCAACTGTGACTTGTCGGAATCTGACACAGGAACCCCTTCCTTGGATAACATTATGACAGAATGTCACCACTCCCCAAGTCTGCTGCTTGCAAGTCAGAAATGAAGAGATCTCATTGGTTATCGGCAGTGTGTTTAAGACGGTTATGTCATGGCCGAGCCTGTCTGCAATAGAGAGACCGTGAAGGGTTTGCTGCAGTCTTTTTAAGGCAATGACATTATTTTGGTGAATGTTGTGACACCTCTGTCTGTGCAGCTACTCAGGCAGCCAAAGGTTTCACTGGTTTTGGGCTAGTGTTCACGATGATGGTGGGAACTGCAGGTATTGAACACTTACAGTGCATTCTGTTGTACTACACCTGGCTTCCAAACAGATTGTGCCACTGGCCCGTGACTTCGTTTTAGAATCGAAAGTTCAGTCTACCGAATAGTCAAAGGAAAAATAATAATGGTGCAGAAAAAGAGGATACAATAAGTAGTGATACATACAGTATCTGTCTCTACAATGGTTTCTTTTTGTGTTTGCCTGAAGAGTGATGATACAGTACTAAACAAGTGCTTTGGCCTCATAAAATCCTTAGCCTTAGGGTCATGAAAACAGAAGAGATTCTTTGGGGGTTGGTTAGAGTAGAATTTGTGGGGTGGAGTTTATTGGATAATTTAGGGTGGGGGCATAGCTGAAAGGAACTGTTGTTTTTAAAAGGTAGCCTGGTGTTTTTTGGGGAAATTTATTATACTGGCACAATTTCAGGAAAACTTTACATTTTATTGCTTTTAAGGAGCAAATGCCAGTGTCCAGCAGTCTGTACTGCGCAGGGCTCTGTAGGGAAACCCTTTAACATTATCATTCTGAAAGAGGATCAGGCTTAAATCTCATTATAATGGCAATCTTTCATGTCGTAGACATTTTAAAATTTATCCATGCCACTTTTATTCTGGAAATAGTAGTTCATTTTCAGTTTTTTCATTTTTAAACTATTGACTTGCCTTTAAAGATCTGGCAGTTAGTTGTTAAACTGTCTCCGGTTTGTAATGTATTCATGAGAGGCTCTAAACTATGAAGCAATTTGAAATATTTTGCTTCCTAACTTAATCTTTACTAAATTATCGTTTTCCTTTTCGTTTTTCAGAATATGTTACACCTCTTCCCGGTCTTTAATAATAGCTTTTCATTTTGCAAAATGTCATTTTGCTTAAACAAGAAAAGTGAAATGCAATTTAGAAGGGAGAACGAGGCCATTTAATTAAATTTAAATGGTTTTTGAGTGTAAAGAAGGTGGCTAACTTTTTTATCATCAGGAAACAAGCTGAAAAATGATGAATGATAATGAACAATCTTTTCTTGCAGTTCACAGTTTTATCAGGCTTTTACTGAAGGGTCCACTCAAATGAAATTGAGTTGAAGTTCTATGAGTAAAAAAAAACACTAATAAAGTGTCTCCTATCCTGTAAGCAATTGTTGTACGTGCACCATTGTTCATTCTTCATCTGTATATAACCAACAATTACGGAAAGCATGTTTTACTTCTGTGAGGCCATTGTGACTAAGCTGAAAGCCTGAATTTATTTGACCAGAGACAGGGACCTGGTTCAGACGTGTGCCTGTAGAGGCCAGAGGTCACTGCACCACCTAGTCCCTGTGCAGCCTTTGCCTCATTAACAATACTGCAGAGGTCTTTGATTCCGGATGCAGCGAGGGTGGGGAGTTTTTAATGCTTTTAGCAGGTTTGGCACCGTTATCAAGAAATGACCGGGGAGCCTGCGAGCTTTTGTCAGGCTACCCGTACTCTGACCAATGGCTGTTGCAGGATACAGAGCAAAAAATGCAGAAATGCACTCCCTCTGAATATCCTTAGCTGCTTCTACTGTACATGTTCCCTCTGGCTTTCGTTTCTGTTTTAGTCACCGGTCGTCTGTTTTTTTTTTTTGCACCGCAGTGAATTCTCCATCACATTTCATAAGAGCGGGTTTAAAAAAAAAAGCGAGGACATAGAGAATGTGGGGGTGGGGGTGTTACTACAGCTGCCGGTCAGCATGGATTGTGTGAGGAGTCTGAAAAGGGAATCAGCGTAGTTAAGATGTTGCCAGGAACTTGTAAGCTTGCGCACATTCCCACTGGCTTGGAAAAGCAGTGCCCTATCACTTGATAGACTTGGAAAGGAAATGGAGAGGAAGTGAGTGCCACTGCTGGTTCAGAATGTTCCAGTGTGGTTGGAAACTCTGAGAAACAGCCCGGGTGAGAAGAACAAGACCTTATTGACAGGGTTCAATCCTGGTCTGGTCTGTTTCGCATCAGCTTTCTGTATGGCAAGCACACTGTTATTATTTTTCAGTCCCCCTGCTGCTCTTACAGTACCCACTGCCTTGCCCCTTACGGACCTTTAACAGAAATGGGTTATTATGTAATTCCAGAAGAACACAGGCCTTTTTTTATATGCAACCTAGTGTCGACTGTAAAAACTAAAATGGAAATTGATGCTGTCCGATTTATTTAAAAACCCTGCTGTAGGTTTGTGTTACTTCACTGTCTGCTTTCTATTTTAATCACTTTCATTATGCACTAGAAAGGCTCTTTAAGGTTATTTTAATATTTCCATGTTGAAGTGACTTGTCATGCTTTCTTTGTCTACACGGCTTATCATAAGCAAAACTACAAGCGCTTATCACTTACGTTGTACTGAATGTGTCTACTTCCACAGAGACAGTCAGTGTGAATTAAAAGTAATTCACTCATACTTCTACTTGTAGTTTTGCTTATAATAAGATGCTACATATACTGTCTTGTTGATAAGACATTAAACTAAGGTCTGCCCTGTGATGTGCTGCCTTGTGCCCATTGCTTGCCAGGACAGACTCCGGTTTCCCTGTGACACTCATTTGGAAGAAGCGGTTAGAAATGGATGCTTGGATTAAATGAAGGTCTTGTACATAGTGGATTGGGGTGTTAGCTCCTTCGCCATTACTGAATCCAAAAATGCTTTAACAGTAGTTTTGTTAAAGGCTCCTCCAAGCCTGTTGTAAATTGGCGATGGCAATGGCAAAGACCAGATTTTCTTGAAATGGCGGTATTAAGTAAATCAGAGGGCCACATGGATACTATGACCCAGTTTGTTGGTCTATGTTCAAGGTTGAGTTTCACCGCTTAAGGAGAAGTATGAGCAGCTGGGTTGTCGAGCTGGAGACATTTGGCTTCTGTGTCTCAGATGTCCGTGTTCTGAATTGGTTTGTAATGAAGCGTTGCCCATGATTGCCGTGAGTAAGTGCTGGTTGTTCGGTGTTCCACATAGCAAACGCCTCACAGACACAGGAAGTAGAGCCCTCAGGGCTTGTGGACAATAACCCCTTTTGTATCTTGTGTCACATGTCTATGGAAGCACAGTAAGACAAGATACAGTGGGGAAGAACAACAAGCAGCTCAAAAGTGCTGTGCCTCCAAAACCAAGAGGTGGCCGATGGAATAAAAGTCAGTGTTGGAACGATTCCTACTTTCTAGACGCAGTGAGACGGAAGTTAGCGGCTGATGATAAAATAAACTGGATGTTTGTTTATCACGATAACTTTTAGTCACAGCGGCTTTCGGAGCGGACGCCTCTTGGCTGAGCTTCTCTCGTCTTTTGGAACTCGACGCTCGCACGGCCGAATTAGTCTTCGGTCTCGGAACAAAGCCGTCTTCCCGCTTCACACGAGACCGTTTTCACTCGAAAGCTGCGCGTTATTGCTCGGGGTTGTCTTGAGGCTCGTCGGCGTTGTTTTTGACGATTGTTTCCCGCGAAACAAAAAAAAGAAACTTGAAGGTAGGAGATCTACATGGCGTTTTTTACGTTCGTTTTGCCAATTCCACCGCCCTCCGATTGGGCAAGGCCAATCCGTTCTCAGTACCCATAGATCTGTATGTGTGTATAGCGATGTTTAGCTCCACAGGGCCTTTCTGATTAGAGACTGATAACTTTAGGAGACGCTGAGAGTGCTGCAGTACTCAGTCTCGCCCGGTGGCAGCACTGTTACACCTCACTCTGTTTTGTCTTTGCAGGATGGCTCCTACTTGGCCGAGTTCCTGCTGGAGAAGGGCTACGAGGTGAGTGAGTGCAGACTGATGGAATCATCAGCGCGAGGCTGCCCTGCCTTCCTCTCTGGCTCTCCCCTGCGCCTCTGTGTGTTTTTCCAGGGAAACTCGGATACATAATCTCCTCCCCGGAGGGGGGAGCGCACAGCTCCGGCAGCGCGGGAGCCAGCTGATTGTCCCTGGTTATCACTTAGCACTTCTTGAGAATGGGAGTTGTTTTTTTGTATTTATTTATTCTGAGTTGGGTGCTTACTCCACACTGTCTCACCACACACGCACACACACATACAGTATGTTATCCAAGGTTCCCACATCCCGGTGGCTAGATAAGCCCATCCTTAACAAAGCGAAAGCTGCAAGGAATTAAGGGGATAATTTATGATGTAATGCACCACAGAAACCACAATGAGGTCATGTCAGATTCGGAAATTGCAGTGAGCAATGAAGTTGTTAACCCACGACACCTCACCATAAGGTCAGAGATTTTTTTTTTTATGATGGGACACATTTGTCAGTGTTAGTCAATCAACAGCAAATATTAGGCAGTGGCCTTATGAGACATAGTGGCATCTTTTTTTTAACAGAATATTGTGTTGCGGTACAATATTGCATCATGGTGAAGAGTTTTAACATTTTTTAATTCATTGAATGACAAACCACAGACTAATTAATCTTTACAGAAACACTAGTCATCCTTGGCCACTGAAATAGAAAGCAGAACCTCTTCTGTCTAATCCATTGTACTCCATGATAAATGTACTTTTGAGTATTAAGCTTAATACGAAGGCAAAACAAACTGTTGAACACGTTATGTGTCAGTGTCATCACTACATCAAACCAGTTGTGCAGTATGTTGCAGCAGCTTATAAACGGGATTTCTGCAAGCAAGCAAACTTAGCCTGAAATTTTCGGCAAAATTTCAAAGTATCTGCCCCTGCTCATCACTTCTTCGCATGCAGTGCAGCAGTTACGTTACAGGGCTTGAATTGGTGCTTAACACAATCACGTGAGGGCTGCAGTTAAGGAAAACAGCCTGTGAAAGCGCTCAGGCTGAACTAAACTCTCTCCTAGCCGCCCACCAGGACACACTGGTTTGTGCAAAATCCTCCCCTTCCCTTTATGATTGCGGCCTTTCACATCCTTTTTCTGGGGGCCTTTATACAGAAGGTTTCCTATATCCTGCCGCAAAGCCAACCAGTTTTCTATTTTAGAGCCAGGCTACATCTTACCTTTTGTTTCCTTGATTATACTGTCTTGCTGCTCCGACAACAGGCGATGTGCCGAAGGACTGGGGGTGGGTATGGCTAAGGTTTTCCTGTAAGACTCAAGGGGCTTGAATGTCTTGGGATGCTGAAACGTTTCCAAGAGATTTTTCAGATTGTGCTCTGTGCCGATATTGGGAAACAGTCTCACAAATGGGAATAGACAGGCAATAACAAGTATGTGTAACACAGCAGAGGATCTGTCTGATCCAAATGACTTTGTCTTTGAATGGATCTTTCGTTTGGATTTTTTTGGGCGTCCGTTTTTCCTTCTTCTCCCAAATAATTTGTTTGTTGAACTCAGACTAGCCCCACTGTACAGTGCTCATGCCAGTCATGTATGGTAAAGAAATACTGATAATGGCAACAGAAAAATATTTGATTTATTCATTGGTGATAAACAGGTACTTTTTGTGACGTTAGATTTATGTGGTGGATAGATAGTAAAAATCTTGAAGAGTTCAGAAGGATTCTTCTGACACATTTAGTCATCTTTAAAAGAGAACTTTTTTATGTCAACTTTTTTTTATTATGGTGGCAAAATTTAAAGTGAGCTGCATTTTGATCAAGTCATGTTCATTTAAATAAAAAAAAAATCAGTTGAATCCTCTACATGGCTGAACTGAACAATGAAAGTTGAACTAAAATCAGGATATTATTTCAAACTAGGAAGAATATAATCTCAAAACATGTCACAGGTAAAAATTCGCCAAAGTCTAAGCAAAATTCCTTGAAATCTTACCTATTCAGTTTTGTTTCTAGTTTTTCCCAGCTGTTTCTGAAAGTTCTTTTTATTCCTCAGAGCCAGCTGACAGCCTTTAGGTAGTCCTGTTGTTGTCACTTTCCTTTAAGTCGGGATCAAGAAACAGACAGAAAGAACATCAGCTCTTTGGAAAAGAATCTGCTAATCCCACATTTTTAACTAGATTATCGAGTTTTCACACATTTTGGCATGTCAAAGAAGGTATTTCACCTGTGTTTTGGAGCAGACAGACAGAACTTTCATCACTGATTACAGTGTTACATTCTGGCATGGATTTTTGTCTGGCAGGTATTTCTCAGCTAAAAAAAGCGAGACCATGTGGTGTTTTCTTTTCTCACCTGGCCAACACGTTTCAGATGGTTTCTGTAGAAAAACCTCTGCACTGTTCCTGTCTTCGCTGAAATACAAACACAGGCCTCCGTAAGCACAGATTAGCCCTTCTTCGTATGGTAAGCTTACACCCAGAACTCTTCCACACACAGTCTTTCAGCAGAGCTTAACGTTGAGTTCTTTGACCAGGGCTTTGTGGTTTTTCACATGTCTAAACTACACCGCAGAAAATAAAAGATCAAATAATTACAAACTGACAGCACCTGTCATCAAACTTTGAACCAGTCTGCTAAATCAGTTGCTATTTTCACAATTCTTAATTCGAGCCTATGCTTTTTTTTCCAGTTTTTTTTTCCTTTTAAACCCCACTGTGGTCGGCCACGTAGGCTCTCTAATGCTCCTTTTCCCTGGTCGGGAGGTGTGATTTCAGGAGCAAGGGGAGAAATAACCTGTCCCCTTAAATTCGGAATGGTGTTTTATTTTTTAACTCCACTGTAGACAGGAAGGCGGTATTCCACTTGCAGCACATTAACGGTCATTAAAAGCGAATCAAGGGGCAGGATACTGTAGTGAATAGAGGAAAGAAGGGCAGAGCACAATGCCATATTACACACTCCTGAACAGACCCCTGCAATTATCTCCTCTCTGCAGGACTTCCTATGGCTTCACATCCCACAGGCCTTCGCTCTGCTCTACAGATCTGTCTCGTCAAAGATTTGATCCTTGACACTGTGTCTACTGCTCGATGATGAGCGCTCCGGAAGGTTCTGCGAGTGTGTGTGTTTGGGTCCCCACCCCCCCGGTCCTAATGATGCTTTATTGTCTGGTCTTTGGGGATAATCATCCTCTCGGTTTTCCCTGACAGACTTAGGAGTAGAAAACTCTTTAAGTGTCGTCTTTAAAAAAAAAAAGAGCGTTGCATGGCAGTGCATGCCAAATGTAGGTTGGTTAAGCATTTTTTTTCATTTGTCATGAACTAATTTTAATCGGCTTTACATTTTCTGAAATGGAACAAAATTAGAAGAAAACAGCACAACACAACAGCACCCCAGTCTCAGCCCCTATCCACCTGTCTCTGGTGGTAACCCCTTCAAGCTTTAGTCCAGTGGGCCCATTAAACAAGAATCAGACAGCTGTGACAGGACTGTGCAAGAAGGACTTGTCCACATTTGCTGTAACGCTCTTAATTCTCCTGGGATCTGACGTCAGTACCCCCTGCACTGATCTAATGGCAGGCCCTTCCTCAAAGCTAGTAAATTCCTGCTTCGATTACTATTACAGTAATGATTCTGCCTGGATCTACAGTGTATCTGTAAGAAATGTGGTACGGTATCTAAGCGTGAAATTTAATCATTTTCTAAGAAGGTCAGTTGCCACCGCAGCAAAGTGAGTTTCCCATTCAGTTGCGAGACGCATACAGTACAGTAGAATTATCTTTAATAAATCATCTCACCTTGTCCACACATTCAGCTATACACCTTCCCTGCAGTGTCCTGCGTTCCAGGCTTTCTGGTAAAGGTTCAGATTGTTTCCTGAATCCCGGTGTGGCAGCAGTGTTGTTTTTAGCTCACAGATGAGAATGTTTGAGGCTTGTCTTTATCTTTTGTTGCTGCCATTCAGACTGCTAGAGCACTTTCTGTGTTACAGCTCTGTTCTTGTAAATGGCAACATTTCCAGCAGTGATGACAGGATCTGATCCACTGTCCCCCTGCGGCACTTTTTGCAATCTCTTCTGGGCAAGAGAGGGCACCTGTCCACATAGGGGTACATTTTCTGTGTGCTGAAAGAACTTCCCCTGCAGCCTATGTCACAGCCAACATGTTGCTTTAGGACACAAGGCACTGCTGCCCTCTGTGGGCACCTGTCCTCCTGGCAAGTCTCCCATGTTCTCATATACTGTAAGCTCCATTTGAGCCTCCGCAGGTGACAGGAACTTCATGTTCTAGTACGACTGTGATTGTGATTTTGCTGCTGTAAAACGCGTCGATGAACTCCCTAACTTTTTGGTGTCGAGTTCTTCGCTCGAGAGTTTCTCAAGAGGGATATAGAGTGGCCTCCCTGCTGATGGTCATCTCCCCCTTCCCATCAGAACCACCTTGTGGAGCTGACAGCTCTCATTCTGCTCACTTCGCCTCCGGTGGGGACTGGTTTCTGAGCACACTGTGCCCTGTGTTGGCCTTGCATTCATTTTGGGACGAATCGTGGACTAGACTGTTTGTGCACTAACTGTTCGTCTGTTGCAGTTTGAGGAGGTTGGCTCAGGATTCATCAGAATGTTGTCTCTCCCACTGCATTGTGGATGTGGTTTACTCAGAGTATGAGAGTACAGGCCACTGGGGTGGTAACGCCGTCCAGTAGAGGAACAGCCAGATCATGGGGCCATATTTCCCAGTGCTTCTCAGTCTCATATGTGTACTGTGGCAAACTTAGGCATCTGCAGGGGTGGCATCTCTTCAAGAGTAAGGAGAACCTTAGGCTGCTCCTGTAATCCTGGTTCCCTCTAAGAGGAAAGCTACACAGGGTCCAGCAATGAACAAGGAGAGGAGCTGTGTAACCCATTTAGGGTAGGGGGTGGAGACCGAGCATCAAGCTTCACTCTGGCCTATCAGCTGTTCTTCCACAAGTACCAAAAGGTCACAATCACTAAATGACTTTGAACATCCCAGCAAGTTTATTGACATCCAACACCTTATTGCTAAATTAGCCATTGCTTTCTGTAGTTAACCCAGTGGTAAGTTACAGCAAACAAAACGAAATGTGTTTGTCCTTTTGTTTCAGACTTACAATACTGTACATGACTCAGCATTAGCTGATATTTCTCCCTGGGACTAGAAGTTTGAAGTTGTAATATACTGTATATAGAGTTCATATCGGAATTCAACTGTATGTTTTCCTATTTGAAACGGAAAATTAACAGAGTTAGAGGTCGTTGCAGTAATCCATGTGCCAGATTGGATTCCATAATACTTACAGTAGGTTTGTCACCTACTGTACAGTAAGTATTCCAGACTATAGTGTTTAATCCATTAGACAATAAGACAAGGGAATCATTTTAGATCTTATTTTGTCTTTCAGTTTAATTCTGGTTTGTATATGAAGCTGTGCAAAGGGCAGAAACCAGTTTAAAAAATAATATTAGCAATGAGCTTTATTACACTTTGGTCAAGGGAAAATTGTGCCCTATCTGTGCCTGAATTTAGTACAGATTGTAAAGTTAGAGCCTATATGCCCTTTCTAAAGTAACACATTGTGTGGCCTTACAGCCTGAAATCAAGACGCATTAAATCAGAATGTATTTTTAGTACACCTTGTAACACACAACCTCCAAGTGAAAAACAAATGCTCAAGCATTCTGAAAGGCAATTAAAAATTACATTTCATAAAAAGTGAAAACCTAGAAAAATGGGTTGAATAGATGGTTATTAGGCAAGTTGCTTAGGTGGGCCTCTTATTGGTCCCCTTGTTATTTGAGGTGGTGCTGGCAGTGGAAGTTTTCATAATCCATTTGAAGTCCTGACGAGCCCCAGATCAGATGGAAGTGAAGGAATATTTTCACATGTGCTCAGTTCCTTGTGTTTTCCTTATCGCAGGTGCACGGCATTGTCAGAAGATCCAGCTCTTTCAACACAGGCAGGATTGAGCACCTCTACAATAATCCTCAAACCCACACAGAAGGAAGTAAGTCAGTGCTGCAGTTTCAGTGTTGACACCTTCAAAGAGCCTAAGCCTTCAGATCTTTGGGTTTGCTGCTCATCTATGTTTTTCCTTCTCTTTCTTCCCCCCCAAAATCTTTAAATTAAAACACAGCATCTCTTTTTTTTCGTGGGATATGGTTTTATAAAGCAATGGTTGATGATCCAGTAGTGATCTGGGACACTAGCACAAATGAAAACAACTATGGATGCTTTTTCCAGTTGTTCCCCTTTAGATTTTGTTTTTAATAACTAATCTTCAGTTACGTGTGTGACGGGTGTTAAAAAATGAAAATCTTGTGTATGAATCTGTTGTTCTGCAAAATTCTCTTACATACAGTATACCCAACAAAAAACAAAGGATACTTTCACAATTCCATTTAAGTAGTCTTATTTGATACGTTTGATGGTGAAGAATTCTTCAGTCTCAGTATAGACCACAGATTTTAAGCAAGCTAAATTTAGGATTTTTTTGCGTTGTACTTTATATGCAATAGGTGTTACCATGGCAAGTAATCTTATTTTTTGCTGTGGTATTTCGCTGACAAAAGAGACAAATTCAAATGCATTACAATCAAGCTATTTTGACAAGCTGAATTATATTTGACTTGATGATTGCACTGTCTCGGTAGCTTCTTTCCTTTAGCAAACAAGAAGCTGCCTTAAAACAGGACTGGGGAAAGTAGCTCTAACGCACACAGATTTCTGACCACAGGTATGATGCAAGTTTTCGGGAAATTTTGGGGCCTTGAGCTGTGTAACAGCAAACTCTTTGTTTCATTTTCCACTTGGCGAGGCAGTGTTCTGCGAGTGTCACAGACGCTAAAGTGTACTTTGCAGTTTGAGAACATACGTTATGGAAAGAGAAATACTAATACTATTAAAGGCCAAACAGAGTAAACAAGCAGCTTGAATGGCTATTTCTGAACGGGCAAAGTAAAATATACTAGTTTTAGCATTAGCAAATATCATTTTGCTTGTAATGAACACTTTGCACTCTGCGATACATTTTTACCAGAGGCCCATGTTTGATAATCGTGAAAAGTGAAAGGAATCCTCCAAGAATGATCTGAATTCACCTGATGTAAATATGAAGATATTCTGTAATAATTCAAGTAGGTAGTATAGCTGCGTCAGTATACGTAGGCTGCAAAGGAACAAGGGAAGGTTTATTCCATGCTGAAAAGAGAAGAAAATAAACACAACGTTTCAGCTGTGGATCCTTCTTCGGGTCAAAGGAAGAAGACTCCACAGGTGAAATGTTGTGTTTCTTTTCTTCTCTTTTCAACATGGGATACTCTGTAATGCCACCCATTGGTTTTGGAATTCACACACTACCTTGCCAGAAATTGAAAAATACAGGCTCGGTTTTCTATTAAATTGTTGGCCTGTACCAGTATATACAGTAAATGAAAATATAAAGGCTTTTCTTGTGGGCTTGCCATAATAAAAAATGTACCATTATTCAGACAATTACTGTGGTGTATTATGACCGTACCCTTTTAAAAGAATCAAGAGTGTACTAATGTCACAAACTGAAATTATGTGTCTTAAAGTTCAGAACAGCTTTTCTGTTATGGAAGTCTTTTTATGGATGAACAAAAGGCTGTGAGCAAGAAGTAAGCCTTAGGTCATGGTTTTCCACATTTGCGTAGATTTCAGTTGTTTATTAATGCAAAATTTCTTTTGTGATGGGAAATATATCCGACACTTTTGTTATCTACCATACAGTACGTATGCCACATCTCACATTACAGACCCAACGGATATACCAAGAAAGGTATAAAAAGCATTACTATACCCTGTTAGTTACCATGCATAATTTTGTATCCTGTGTTGTTTAAACAAAATATTATTCGGTGTAATTACCAGTGTGCTCTTGAGAAATGTCAGTGTAATGCTCAGATCAGTGTGTTCTTTGCTGGTTTCCATTGCCTAAATGTGTGCTAGAGTGGAATGTATTTATTCATTCAATTGGCGCAGGCCAGAAAGGAAGCTACCTCACAGCAGTGTTTTTGATAGTATGGTTTCTTGAGACCACTTATATTCCAGTCATAATTGTCCCACCATGACATGCACAGCAAATTCACCACTGTCCACCCATGACATCATGAAATTGTCTTTTTCTCATCAGATATGAAGTTACACTATGGGGATCTCACTGACAGTACATGCCTGGTGAAGATTATCAATGAAGTGAAACCTACAGAGGTGTATAATCTGGGAGCACAGAGTCACGTCAAGGTGAGGATACAATTTTATCTGTTACAATACTTTAATAGGTTTGATGGCAGTGCACTATTACGTACACAGGATATTTTTTTTCTTTATAATCAGAAAAAAACATAATGCATTGTTTTCTGAATCACACAGGCAAAGCAACGTGATTTTATCCAGAATGGCCCCTTTCATCATACTGCCAGTTTTCTGTCAACAATGCTCTCTTGTCTGCCTTTAGCAATGAATGAAAGATGGGAAGAAATTGAATATTTCTTCCAACTCCTACATATTACGCATCCTCTGAGGCCTCAATAGATGAGTCTGCAGCTTCTTTGGGATAAGCTTTGCTCTTCCACTTCCTCCTTGAAATTATTCCGAGCCACACACAGTCAATTTTTGTTTCTCCTGAACTTTTGTTTGTGAAGAAGGCTATTATGTTCTTTAAAGAATGTTCCCAGCATACTAAATATCAAGGAAAGCAAACAAATTGAGTAATCCAGGACTTGAATTTTTAGGTATAGCACTTCTGAGCAGGAGTTTGTGGAATATACAGTAGAATTATTAATTATCACTTGTCAGTCCATAGTGTTAGAAGGCAGAAACGTATAAAGAGATATGTATTTGTCATTAATGTATATTTAAGCAATGCTGCAATAGGGGTAATTAGGTTTGTATAACTACATTGACCATCAAATGCGCTTAATATTTATCTGGTAAAAAATACTGTTCAAGGTTTTTGGTACTTTTTTAAAGAGCAGGCATCTTAGTAATTTATGGGATATAATAATATTAATTAGCTCTTTGTGTTTCGTTCAATGAGTCTTCTCATTCCTCTTCACCTCTGTTTGTCATAGTAAGCAACAACAGACAGCTGTTAAAATTAAAAATAAAAAGAACAATGTCGTTTTTGTTGTGCATTCTTGCGTTGATGATGATGGACACGAGAACAAAAAGGGTGATGCTAGATACTGCTGTTGCACACAGCTGTTGTTGCAAAAACCGTGACACTGCTGTACTTAAGATCTTCTATGGATACTTAATAACATTATTGAAGAAGAAATGTGGTACAAATATGTCATATTACAAAGTTTTTTGGCACAACAAAGGTGTTTGCTTTCCTCCTGATTCTCATCAGGAACGCATGTGTCTGGGATGCAGCTGAACCAAGGGATGTTTCCTGGACTACTAGAGAAGAACATTAATGCTAGTTGTGGTCATAGGATTGAAGGAAAAGTTTGTTCATTGAATGAATTGGCTTTAACTGGAGATATTTGGTAATCTGCTCTGATTCCCCTTTTAGTCATGAAAGACGGAGAAGTGGCTGAAGTTTGAGTCAAACATTCTGGCTTAGCCTTGGAAGACTGTGTGGGTGTGTTCTTCCATTGCAGCCTTTACACGCAGTGCTGGCTGTCATGTGTTGGGAACAGAAGGAACTGAAAATCCCCTCAGGACATTTGACTATTGTAACATACAAATTAATGAGAAAAGTTTGGATTTCGAAAAAAAGTGAAAAGCTAGATCCAGTTTTGCCATTTGCCAGAGGTATTTTGAAGTCATTACAATATGTTACCAATGCCATTTAGGGGTAATCATTGAATAATTATGTTTAATGAAGCTTTGGAATTGTCATACAGTAGGTGTGTTTTCACTAAGGAGATGACCCACATAACTAGAGATGACCCACAAAACTAGAAATTACATTTTGACTTGGAGCCAGCTTTTCAGCAAAGAGAAAGGCTAGTTTATCTCCAGTTCTCCGTGTGGGTGTTTGTTTTGCCCGGTACACTTCATGAAAAAAAGCTTCCTATCAGCCTTCCATCTAATTATATGTAGGCTGCGCTGAAAGTAAGAAAATGAAGTGATGTTTGTTTTCCTACAGGAAACCCATGAGCATGGTGATATTTCTTGAAATTCTCTGGGCACGTTCCCGGGTAGTTTGGACTGATGTCTGTAGAAAAAAAAAAAGGAACCAAATTCTAAACAGTCGTTTTTATCATCCCACAGCAATTAGAGAGTCAATGCTTGTTGTTTGTTGGATCGTATCTCACAAAGAGCCATTGTTTAGTGTTAACATGCTCCTTCAGAGGAAAACCAGGTGACATAATTCTGATTCTTCCCATGTGAAATGAAAAGTAGGAGGACATTTTGGGGAGCGGGGCTGTGCAATCAATTTTCGAGGGCGGGGTGCCTCTTTGTTTCTCAAAGGTATTGCTTGTAATCAGGCTTGCTGGATGTGGTTTTTCCATGGATTTTAAGCCTTATTAAGGATTTGTTTTTAACAATATCACTGTTGCTAATCCAAATAGAATATATGTCTAGATAAGATCTACGTGGGCAACAGTTTGAAGCGTAGTAGAAATTCTGATGAGTGTGCTGAAAAGGTTAACATGAATCTTCAGAAAGATAGTCCTCATTTAACATGTAACCGTTTACAGATTGTTACAATCAGGAATCAGAACTTGTATAACGATTTTCTGGATAAGGGTCATTGGGAAATCAGTGGCACTTCTGTGCAGTGGTAATTCCCCTTGACTTCAAAACAAAAGAACATGGCGCTGGGGACATGAAAGAGAGGAATGTCCTGATATCACCTCAATACGAAAACCATATTGCTGATCTGGATTCTGTTCAGTGAACGTCTTTTTAGACTTACTGTAAGTCTTGCTTCTTCAAATTTAACACAGTAATTTGAACCAGTGGTAACAAATTGAACCTGCAGGGTAGCACCTTTAAAACTGAGAACAGGAGGCACTTGTGGGATGCTGTCGAAAGCTGATAGCTTGGCTTCTTTCAGGGAACAACAGGATGGATAGTGGACCAGTAGGCTATCAAATCACCCTCTTGTTTATAAACTTAAATTCTTATAAATAGACATTTGTGTTCTCATTAAAAACACGTAACATACCTGCTGTTTGGCACTCTTTCTCTAATTGGTGTTCATACTAACATAAATAGAAACAAAATGAAAGAATCAACAAAGCCATTGGGTGAAAGATGAAAGATGTTTTTCAGTAACAGCTCCGTATGGAAACATTTCCAGAATAACATGTGTGCCTGACATTGTGCGCTAGAAGTCAGGCATGCTATTTTTAAGAGAGGGTATTGACTGAACAAGAAGAGAAAGCTACAGTTGCTTTGTAAACAAATAATAAGCAAGATGTCCCAGACGGATTCAAATAAAATGATGGCAATGCGATTAATAATTTACACATTATCGCCTGCTGCAGCGACAGGTGCGAAATGTAGATTTCAGTAAAAAAGGGAAATCCTTATTGGTACAGTATTGGTAAGTTAGAATATTCTTAATTGCTTCAGGGCTTTAGGCAATCAGACAGATGCTCAAAATATGACCTTTACATTGACTAAACGTAATAGAGTAATCCCTTGTCAACTACGACAGTAACATTCTTCAAAAACCCTCATGGTCGGTGAGTTTGAGGATGGTTACTTTAGACGTTATGGGGGAAATATTGGATCTTGGCAACTGTTGCAATTCAACCAATTAAAATGCCTCAAATGTTTTTTTTACCTATAATGAAATAAAACAATAACATCAGAGTAAAGAAAAACAGTATATTTTGGAAATAGTATTGTTTAGGTAGTTTTGAAATGAGTTTGTGACATGATTCTTACCTCTATTGCTGCGATGAGGCCCATGTAGATCTGGTCACATCGGCACATCACTGTTCCCCTTCTTACCCCATCTGTGACAGCTTCCTTGCTTTCCTTTATTGTACAAATTGTAGATTCATCTACACAAACCAACCAACAGCACCTTCCCTTAGTCCTTTGCGCAACTCATCAAACACTTGAATTATTTCTTGTAAGTTTGTTGCAGATCTAGATCGGTTAGCAACACTGGACTCTCCTTCCTTTCTCATGCGGTTAGGAGCCATTTTTAATATCGTAATTTATTATTATTATGATTTAGTTAATGGATATCAGTTTTATTTAGGAAATCAAAATCACTAACACTTTTTTTTTGCACAATCCAATATGGAATAACCATCAAAGCCCGGTACAGTATTTAACACTTTAAGCACATTAGAGAAATTGCGGACACGTCTATTCACGAAGACGTGATAGAAAAAGAGCGAGATCAGGCTGCTCTCTCTCCTCCTCTCGTGAAAGGAACTCTCGAGCCAGTGTGCACCGCAGCTCACGAGTGCTCCTCCACCTCACGGGTGCTCCAAACTGGGGTTCAAGCAAGATAAAATGGCATGCAGAAAATATTCGAGCAGGAACTCAAAACCACATAATCATTTTGTGGTATAATTTCTGTGGTATAACAGAAATTTGCGTAGAGTGAGGGATTACTGTATTGAGTTCATTTTTATTAGTGAGTAAGTTAATTAAAGGGCCGTCTTACAGAAGGCTTGCTAGTGGACACAGTTTACTTCAGTGTGTTATGAAAATGTGTTCACTTTATAGCCAAGAATACAATGCTAAACTCTTTATACCACCTTAAGCTGTGAAGATTTATTGTTTATTTGAGTTCACTGGATGTTGCCATGTTAATTAGGAAGGAAAGGCTTCGAATTACATATGACCACCCAGCACTTTATTTTAAATGATGTACCAGATTGTACTTTTGAATTCTGTCTGGAAAGCGTTGAACTGACTGTGCATTGCATTTCGAGATACCACTGTACTTTGGATCTTTGTGTTACCATAAATTTAAATGAAATATCATCATGGAATCTCGAGGCAAGTGGTTCTATCTCAGTATCTTCTGTTTAGACCAAAATAAACTAGCTGGCATTTTATCTGAGTCAGTGTGGGACCCTGTTAATTATTAAATGCCACTGCATTTAGCTCACATGTTTATTTTATGCTTTCCAGAACATTTTAAGGATACCCGTACAACTGATTACAGCAGAGAAATTTATTAATGTGACCTTCACTGTCACTTAGTGCAGAGTTATTTTTACGGGATTCTTTTTGGTTGTGAGAGTCCTGCCTTCCTGTACAGTATCTTGCCTTCTTTCTCCAAATTTTGGGTGTTTGAAAGCAGCCTCTGTGTC